GCTACAATGATGAATAAAAAAATAGCTGGGGGTGTATTCAGTGGTAGAGTTTACTTGGCATGTGCAAGGTCCTGGGTTAGATCTCCAGGACTATAAAAATGAAAAAGAAAAGAAAGAAACAGAATACTACAAATGTAGGAACATGGGAAGTGCAATTATGTAAAAGAATGTACACAAATGATCAAAAGTACAGCAAGCATCTATTAAAGTAGTGTTTATATAAAATAGTGCCGTTCATTGACAGTGTCCCTGCTACAGGCCACCAAAGTATTTAATCTCTTTGTAGTTTAGCTTCCTCGTGTAAAATGGAAATGATAATACGTACTTCCAAAGGTTTTTCTGAGAATTAAATGAGTTCGTTTATGCCTTATAAGCTTTCTGTAAGAGCTACCTGGTATTGTTATATTTCTAACTTTTAAAATCATAGGCTCTGACTCAGACTGTTTATCTGTTTGGTCTCAACTACCCATTAATCATTGATTTTCATAGTCTCAATCAGAACCTCAGTTTTCTCAACTATTGTGAGGATTAAAGGGATAACGTATTTGGTGGGTAATAAGCACTCAATACATGTTAAGTAATATTATTAGGAAAAATAACATACTATAATAATCGTAAGGTAGTACAAAAAGTGAATAGAAGACAAAACAAATTTTTCATGTTCTTCCTAATGTATACACTATTTTCATTACACTGATTTGGGGGAATAGTTTATCCAGATCCCTCTATCAAGATGAGTCCCAAGTTATACACCCTGATAAAAACCTTTTTTTTTTTCCTACCAGGAATTGAACCCAGGGCAGTTAACCACTGAGCCACATCCCCAGCCTTTGTTTATATTTTATGTAGAGACAGGGTCTTGCTGATTTGCTTAGGGCCTCAGCTAAATTGCTGAGGCTGGCTTTGAACTCATAATCTTTCTGCCTCATCCTCTGGAGCCACTGGGATTACAGGCGTGCACCCCTGATAGCACTTTGAACATAGCCTTCACAGGAGGGAGCGAGCAATTTCGGGTTCATATCTGTCTTCCTCTATAAAATCTAAGCTTCATCCTGGATGGCATCAGATACACCGAAATCCAGCATAGGGGCTGGCACTTTATCAACTATCAAATATTTATTGGATGGATGAATAAGTAATGAAATAAAAGCATTTTAACATATACATTCTGAAACAGCATACTCATGATATTAGAGGCAAATATTATTTCCTCCATCTAAGAATTGAGAAATTGCTCATCTTATAAAACTAGGAAGATAGAGAACATTCAGATTCTGGGGAGCTATTTTTGGCAGCTCTTCCTTAGGAGATTCAGACCGGCTGAACCTGTCCCTGGGAATCCTTCAGTTGCAGCAGGGCTCTGGGAACCCAGTACTTTTCCAGCACCTCCTGTTCAGCAAAAGGAAAAGTACTTGTCTCTCTAGATGATTTTCACTCGGGGTATGTAAGTCCTTAATCATGACGGAATAGAGACCAGAAAAATGTCTTTCAGTTCACAGGTGAGGAACTGGACTCAGAAACGAAAATTGTTTTTCATAAATCTAACACTTAATAATACAACCAATACAATCAGACCATTTTTACTGTTCTCTTTCTCTTCTCATTATAAAATTATGCTTATCAAAGAAGTTTTTATTACACCAAGGGTAAAACTCTTGACATGTTAAGAGGCAGAAGACTAGAATTGTACATATAATATATTCAATTATAAAATATATAAACATATGGAGAGCATGTGGTTTCTTAATTATTTAATCTATGTAGAAAATAAAAAGAAGTAAACCAAAATATGTGTTTACCTCTAATTCATAGTGTCATAATTCATTTATGTGTTTTCTTTGTGTTATTTTTGAAATATTTTATTTTGGTACCTACAGGGTTTTAAGGAATATCAACCTAAAGTTTCAAGGACATTTTAGTAGTCATTTAACCTGACCTGGATAGTAGACATAATAACATCTACTCAGGGCTCTTATGTGTGTAAGATAATAAAATGTAAAATTTCTTTGTAACTCTTCATTTTTGATAAAAGTATTAAATGTTTTTGTTGTGGTGATAAAATCCTGTGGCCTAAAAGAGGGGCAAGAATCCTTAGCATAACCAGTGTCTTTGTGCTGAGGGGTTTAGGTTGGGAGGGAAGAGAAATCTAAGATCAGGAGAGAAGTAAGAGTTTTTAGTGAGGATATACAACTTAGGGACCATCTAGAGAGAAGGGTCTGAAAAACCCCCAAAATGAGATGCAATGAAGATAGAACAACTTATACATTAGGAAGAACATGAAAAATATTATATTTTGTGTCTTCTGCCCCTATTTCCTATATGAAGGGCTTACTCTATGCCACATACATTATTCCTTTTAATCTTCACAACAGTTGAGAAAACTGACAGGATCTACTGTATTTAAAGGTCATGGCAGGTTTATGGCCCATTCCCTGCAGAATGTGAAAGGCAAACTATAGGATATGACCAACACTTGCTAAGGCCTATCTATTGCCAAACAGAGAAGAAGCTATTTCCACTGTGGGTTATAAAAATTTGTGATGAAAAGAGGTTGTTGTTCTTGGGCTGAGGTTGTGGCTCAGTGGCAGAGCGCTTGCTAGCATATGTGAGGCCCTGGGTTTGGTTCTCAGCACCCCTATAAAAAAATAAAATAAAGGTCCATTGACAACTAAAAAATAAAAGAGGTAACCTTTTCAAGGATGGTGTGTATTAGGCTTTATTCTTTGCAAAACTTTTCTGGCCAATTCTTTGCAGGCTCACAAATGCTACAGAAAATAAAATTTAACACATAGTAATGATTATTTTCATTGTCCAGAGGTGCCAAAGGTAGTATGTGAAATTGTTGTTACTTTTACATATTTAAATGTCATCCATGTAAGTTAGTATGGTCATCTTGGAAAACTGTAATGGAAGTACCATAGAAAACTAAAAACAGAATTGCCATATGACCCAGCAATCTCACCGAAGGGAATATACTGAAAGGATTTGAAATCAGAATGCCAAAGAGATGCCTGTATTCCTGGGTTCCTTGCAAGCTTACTCGCAATAGCCAAGAGAAGGACCCAAGCTATGTCCATCAACAGATGAATAAAATTCAAACCACAGGAAATATCTGTTATTTGTGATAGCAAGGATAAACCCAGAGGGTAGTATGTTAAGTGAAATAAGCCAGGTACAGAGACAAATGCCATATCACCTCACATCATATGTGGAATCTAAAAAGTTGAACTGGTGGAAGTAGAGTGGGTTGATGTGTAACACAGATTGGAGAGTAGGGTAGCCTGGGAAATGGGAGAAGCTGGCCAATGCCTATAAAGCTACAGCTAGATGAGAGGAATAAGTTGCCATTAATGTGATGTACTGTGAATTTTAAAACAGCTAAAAAGTGGATTTCAAATATTTTCATCACAAATAAAAAATACATATGTGAGGTGATAAGACAATTTTCCTGATTTCACCATTCCACAATGGAACAAAACATCACATTGTACCACATAAATATACAAAATTATTATGTCAAAAATAAGGGGGTGGAGTTATAACTCACTGGTAGAGTGCAGTGCTTAGCATGCATGAGGCCCTGGGTTTAATCCCCAGCACCAAAATAAAATGAAACTTATAAAAACCATGACTTTAATGATGCACTCCATTTGTGTACAATGAATTGAAATGCATTTTGATGTCATGTACAACTAAGTGGAACAAGTAAAAAAATAATAAATTTTTTAAAAATGACTTCATTATAAATAAATAAATAATGACCTCTAGTAAATTCACCCAAGAGAAATGAAAACACATGTTCACACAAAAACTTGCACATAATTGTTTAGAGCTGCTTGATTTATAATTGCCAAAAATGGAGAATAACTCAAATTTCCTTTAATAAACTGTGACACATCATAAAATGGAATGCTACACAGCCATACTTTTAAAAAAGTACTGATAAGCACAACAATAGGGATGAATCTTAAATGTATTATGCTAATTTAGTAGGGGATGCCAGATCCAAAAAGACTACATATTGTATTATTCAATTTATGGAGAGGGAAACTATAGGGGAGAAGAGATGATAAACCTCCCCCCTCCCAATTCCAGGAATCCAACTCATTGCCTCCAATATGCTATGCAAGAACTCCACCACTGAGCTATAACCTCAGTCCTATAAGTTTTTAAAAGTCTCTGTCAACGGAACTTCCAGAGCCTAATCCTGCTCCCTAGAGGTAAACACTATTCCATTTCTTGTGTATCCGCTACATTTTAAATCTAATATTTACATATATGCATGTGTGTATATGTATACATATAAATTTATTCATAAAGATGTTGAACACAAAAGGTAGCAAATTCCATGCATTATTCTGCACCTTGATATTTTTCTGCTGTTACTTTAGAGACTTTTTCATATCACAAATACATTGGATCCATTGCATTCTTTTTTCTTGCAGCATAGTATTCCAGTACATAATAGTATCGATGTATTTCAAGTTTCTGAAGGATGGATATTCGTATCTTAAAAAGGAATTAAATAATTTGGACATTTTTACAATATCAAAGGTCGGCTGGAGTTGAGAACAAAGTTTTCACAGATTCAAAAGTAGCTTGCTTCCAGGTTATCTTCTCACGAAAGAGACAAACTCAAGTGGCAGCAAGACAAGGGAGACAGTGGGAAAATTCCTAAGCCAATAGGAAAGTGGTGAGGCAGGGAATTACTGCCGGGTAGCAGTTCTAGGAGGGGTGTCTTACTGCTTGAGTAGAAGGCCACTTCAAGCCAAACCTTCCCCAGGCTGCAGCTCAGACATACTAAAGTGTGTCCCGCTATGCAGGGTGCGGTGATGCTTGGCCACCTCCAGCCTCCCGCGGAGATCCTCCTCCCTGGCGGATTCTGAACCCCCACAGCCTCCGGCCCACGCGCAAGGGCAGCACACGTGGTGACCTGCCTGGGGCCGGGTTCCCAGCTCCAGCTCCTCCTCCCTCCAGCTCTCGCTCGGCTTTCTGCAGTATCACGTGCAGCCGCGCCGGGTGCAGGATGGCGGCGGCGGCGGCAGCAGCAGCAGCAGCAGCGGTGGGTGTCAGGCTCCGGGACTGCTGCAGCCGGGGCGCTGTACTCCTGCTTTTCTTTTCTCTGTCTCCAAGGCCCCCGGCCGCCGCCGCTTGGCTGCTTGGCCTGCGGCCTGAGGACACTGCTGGAGGCCGTGTGTCCCTGGAGGGGGGTACCCTGCGCGCTGCCGAAGGCACCAGCTTCCTCCTGCGAGTCTATTTCCAGCCTGGTGCCGCGGCCCCCGCTGCGCCGGTGCCCGCACCCACCCTTTCCCCCGGGGAGAACGGCACGGGCGATTGGGCCCCACGGCTCGTGTTTATTGAGGAGCCCCCGAGCGGGAGCGGCGTGGCGCCCAGCGCAGTCCCCACGCGTCCCCCGGGACCGCAGCGCTGCCGCGAGCAGAGCGACTGGGCGTCAGATGTGGAGGTCTTGGGGCCCCTGCGCCCCGGGGGCGTGGCGGGCTCGGCCCTGGTCCAGGTGCGGGTGCGAGAGCTGCGCAAGGGCGAGGCAGAGCGGGGCGGCGCGGGCGGTGGCGGGAAGCTCTTCTCGCTGTGCGCCTGGGACGGGCGCGCTTGGCACCACCACGGCGCCGCCGGCGGCTTCCTGCTGCGCGTCCGCCCGCGGCTCTATGGCCCAGGTGGGGACCTGCTGCCGCCCGCTTGGCTGCGGGCGCTCGGGGCGCTCCTGCTGCTGGCCCTGTCCGCCCTGTTCAGCGGCCTGCGCCTGAGCCTGCTCTCGCTGGACCCGGTGGAGTTACGGGTGCTGCGGAACAGTGGCTCGGCCGCCGAGCAGGAGCAGGCGCGCCGCGTGCAGGCCGTGCGCGGCAGGGGGACCCATCTGCTCTGCACCCTGCTCCTGGGCCAAGCCGGAGCCAACGCCGCCCTGGCGGGTTGGCTGTATGCCTCGCTGCCGCCGGGCATCGGGGGGTCGGGGGAAGACTACAGCGAGGCGGGCATTCACTTCCCGTGGCTGCCCGCGCTGGTGTGCACTGGCGCGGTGTTCCTGGGGGCAGAGATCTGCCCCTACTCTGTGTGTTCGCGGCATGGGCTGGCCATCGCCTCGCACAGCGTGTGCCTGACCCGACTCCTGATGGCGGCCGCCTTCCCGGTGTGCTACCCGTTGGGCCGCCTGCTGGACTGGGCGCTGCGCCAGGAGATCAGCACCTTCTACACGCGGGAGAAACTGCTGGAAACGCTGCGGGCAGCGGACCCCTACAGCGACCTGGTGAAAGAGGAACTCAACATCATCCAGGGCGCCCTGGAGTTGCGCACCAAAGTGGTGGAGGAGGTGTTGACCCCCCTCGGGGACTGTTTCATGCTGCGCTCGGACGCGGTGCTGGACTTTGCCACTGTCTCCGAGATACTTCGAAGCGGCTACACTCGCATCCCGGTGTACGAGGGCGACCAGCGCCACAACATTGTGGACATTCTATTTGTCAAGGACTTGGCCTTCGTGGACCCCGACGACTGCACCCCACTTCTCACTGTCACCCGCTTCTACAACAGGCCTCTGCACTGCGTCTTCAATGATACCCGGCTGGACACGGTGCTGGAGGAGTTTAAGAAGGGTGAGCAGTGATCTTTCTCCTCCCCCTAATCCCCCTCCCCTTCAAAGGTATTGCACTTTCATAAAGATGAAGGGCTTCAGGTGCTCAACGCTATCCCCAAACTCAAGGAAGGCCATACCTCATGCTTCCCTGGCTGTTTGCATCTCACTTCTCCCAGCCTTCCTTGCAGCCCACTGAGCCCCAGATCTCTTCCCCTCTACTAGGCTCACCAGGTGCGCCATATTCTTCATTCATTCCATTCCACCAGTATTTTTTCAGTGCCTACCAAATGCCAGATACTGTGTCCCCTGGACTTGGAGGTCACTGCATATTTTCCCACTCATAACAGGGGCACCTCTACAGGTTCCCATAGCAAACATCCTTTGCGTTAAACTCCCTTCAGCACTGGAAGCTCACCTAACTCCATTGCTGGACAGCTCCAGTTGCTGACAATCTCTTCCTTACACAGAGCAGAAATATCTGCCTCCAAAGTTTCCTAGTTATATGGGGTAGAGTAAGCCTCAGGCACCTCCAACGTTCTTCCTCCATATTTAACTTAGCATCTACCATTTATTGGACCCAAACAATACTCGAGTTGGGATTAGATGTGGCTAAAGGTGTTGAGTTCTTGTACTTCTGGGAACTCCAGCCCCATAGTAGATCTGAACTTGAGGAAATATTCGGGCAGAAAGGAGACCTTAGAAACTTGCATATCCAAATGAGAGGGGTTTCCTTCATCACAGCCACCATTCCTCCCTCACCTCTTTACCATAAGCTTGGTGTCAAACCGAGCTATATGACATGTTGATTCCATGGCTGGGATTTGTCTTTAGAAACTGCCATCTGAGACTGAGTACCAGTTCACTCAAGAGAGGTCAGCCTGGATACTTGAGTCAGTCCCCTTGGGATTATGTTTGTCTGCCCCCCATCCTCCCACCCCAGTTCACCAGATTGGGCCCAGAAGAGCCCCTGGTTGTTTTTGAAAATCAAATCTACCTCGAGGATTCACATTGAGAGCATTTAAGCCTATCTCACAGACCTTGAAAACAACTCCAGCCATGGTTTAAGAACAGTCACATGGTTAGAATAAATTTAGAACTTTACAGAATAACTGTTTTGAAGGACACACTCATTTGTAATACTTACTAAAAATAAACAAACAAAAGTCAATCCCCTGACTTTAGAATCAGACTTCAAATGTAGCTTTCCTGTGGCTAGAAGATCTCTCATTTGATTGTATTTTTTATACATTTTTTTTCTGTCAAAAATTCAACCTTATTATCACAGGTATATTCTCTAGGACTTTTGAGTATAAAGAAAAATCGGGGGTCTTCCTCCTGCCACAGTATTTTTGAAGTTATGTTAAAAATCAAAACATATCCTAGGGAGGGGGGAAAAAAGTCTAAAAGCTAATTTTAGTCTCAGATTTGGTGGGAGCCCTAGACTTTGTGTTGTTATTAGGAGAAGGGGAGGGAAATGTGAATATGGCAGCTATTTTAGCCCAGTCTGGGCCAATGCCTCCCTTTCTCCCATCTGTCTCCCTGAATCCTTGCAGTACTGGTTCCCACGGCACTCTGTGGTCCATCCATCAGTTTGTAGAACTATGCTTACATTTTGTATTTCCTGCAGAAGTAGAGTCTTGAAACTGGGTGTAACAGCTATGGAAAAAAATCTGTATTTGTTTACTAGAGCTGCCATAACAAAATGCCACAGACTGGGTGACTTGAATAACAGAAATTTATTTTCTCACAGATCAGGGGTCTGGAAGTCCAAGATCAAGGTATCACTATGTTTGGTTTCTTCTGAGGCCTCTCTCCTTGGTTTGCAGACAGCTAGCCACCTTCTTACTTCTTGACGTGGTCTTTCCTCTGTATACTGCATATTTGTTGTCTTCTTGTGCGTCTAGGTTTCCTCTTCTCACTAGTTTAGATTAGGACCCAATCTAATGGCCTCATTTTAACTTAACCACTGTGATAGGTAAGATAGTGGTTAAAGTACTGCCAGAAGACATTTTTTAATGCAATTCTTTTTGAACCCCTTCATTCCTTCGCTTAGTACTAATTGAGCATCTATATGATTTTAGACAACAATGGAGACAAGACTGCCCTCAGTAAGTTAACAGTCTGTGGAACTTACAATGACAATAAGAACCATCTTTGTAAGCAGGAGTTATCTTATTAACCTTGCAACCCCGGCACCTATATTTTAATAATCTGTTCAGAAAGGCTGACATTGATCTGAAATGAGTGGCTGTGCAGAACCTTCTGAATCTGGTGAAACAAGCTTGTTAGTGTCTGTTAGTACTCTATGGTTAGTGGATCAGTGTAGAGAAGCTGTCCATTAAGGTGAATACCAGGCCAAGGAAGATACTTCCACATCCTTTCAGAACCTGGCCTTGCCGTTTCTTCATTGTGGTCCATGAACCAGCATTAATCTCAATGAGAACTTATTAGAAATGCAGAACTTCATGCCCCACCCCAAAGCAATTGCATGAAAGTCTGCATTTTAACAAGCCCTCAGGTGGCTCATGTGTCTATTAAAATTTGAGAAGCATTACATTCAGAGGACCTTTATTCATAGTGCTTGGTAGATCTATTTAGGATGGAAGACAAGGAATAATGAACCAAGTTGTGTCCGGCTCCAAGCTATATAATACAGTGGTCAATTTCTGTAAGAGTTTGTACCATAGATTAGGAGAGGAAAACCGAGTTGAACTGGTTTTCTTTGCCTTTAAAAATAACTTTTAAAGTAAGTCTTTAATAGCTCTTCCATTTTGCTTACTTCCTTGCATCTCAGTAACTTAACCACCTACACAAACCCCTTAGGAGGCAGAAAAGGAAAATGATTATATTAATAGGAACAACAGTTAACATTAATTGAAGGACCACTCTGCCAGGCACCATGCCAAGCCTTTTGCATACTCAGAACAACACTCCTGGGTAGGTATTATTAACTCCATTTTACAGATGAAGAAACTAAAGCTCAGATCAATAATATGACTTGCTCAGCTTTCTGTAACTAATAACTGACTGAATTGTGATTGAGCAAGGTCTGTAAAGCCCCAGTACCTGTTATTTTTTCCTGACTTCTTCAGTCTTGTTCCTCCAATCTGGAATCCCTGCCACCCACAGGGTTCAGCTGACCTTGCCTCTGACTTGCTGACCATGGCTGATTCATCTTCAGTATTTGTGGGTTAGAAATGTAGCTTTAATAATTACAACAATTGCTAGATGTGGTGGCATACACCTGTAGCCCCATAATTTGGGAGGCTGAGACATGAGTATCACAGATTCAAGATCAGTCTTGGTAATTTAGCAAGACCCTGCCTCGGAAAATGGACCAAGGGATGTAGCTTGGTGATAAAGCACCCTTGGGTTCAATCCTCAGTACCAAAGAGTTTAATAATAATTACAGTAATTGCTAATATGCACATTGAACTTTACAAAATATTTCTATCTCCCTTTTCTTGTCTGAAATAGCAGATGACCCTAAGACCCAGAGGGTTATTTGGCTTGCCTGAGATAATCACCCAGCCTGTATATTTCAAGACCCAGATTCTAAACCAGATTACATTACTCCAAAGCTCTTTGTTCATATGAGTTGTAGGTCTTTAGAAATAGGGAAAAGGAAAATGGCCTTTCAAGTTGGCATTCTAGCTTCACAAAAGGGAACTATATTTCTCCCCCACAGGACTATGAGTTCCTTGAGGGAAGAGAATGAATCTTATTTAGTTTGTGTTCTTAGGACAAGCGTAGGGTTCACCATGGTGAGGGAATGCATTCATAAACATATTTCTTGAATAGCTAACTTCTGTATCTCTGTTTGAGTGAGTAAACCCTAGATACAGAATAATTAGTGTTGTCTCACTGACCACAGCAAATATCACCTCTTCTTCTCCCAAGGTTTCTATCTATGTTAGTGGTGTCATTGTCCCTTCAGTTCCCTGGGCTAGAAACCTCTCCTTCACTACCCACCCTCATCCTAATGATTGTCTTCATCTGCTGAAGCTGCCATAACAAAATACCATGCACTGGGTGGCTTAAACAACAGAAATGTATTTTCTCACAATTTAAAGTCTAGAAGTCACAGATGGAGGTTCTAGACAAATCAGTTTCTGGTGAGGGCTCTTTTCCTGGCTTGCAAATGACTTCCATCTCTCTGTATCCTCACATGGCGTTCCCTGAGGGCATATGCAGACAACAAGAGAGCCCTAATCTCTCTTCTTAGAAAGCCAACCATCCTATTGGATTAGGGCCAATTTATTACCTCATTTAACCTTGATTGCTTCCTTACAGGCTCCCCTGGGGGTTAGGGCTTCTACGTTTGAATTCATTGGGAACCCAAGCTTTTACTCCATAATACTCACCAAAGTCCTGTCGTTCAAATCATAGCAATTATCAGTATTGCATCCAACCTGTTTTTGGAACCTATACATAATTTAGTCCACTATTTTCTCCACGTGGGTTATTCATTAATTTTATTCAACAAATAGTTACGTGATACCTCCTGTGTAAGCATAGAGGGAAAGAACTAAGTGTGGTTCCTGTCTGCCTGAAGGTTTCATTCTAATACAAAAAGAAGTAATTAAACAAATGGGATGGTGAGTAAGAGCCTAAGCTTTAGTTGCAGTTTACCTAGATTGATACTGGCGTTGAGCAAATTACTTAACTCTATGCGTATCTTGTTATCTGTAAAATGAAGATAGTAATAGTATTTACTCATAAGATTGTTTGTTAAGATTATTACATTAAAATGCGGATTTAGTACCTGCCATCCTCTAAGTGCTAAGTAAATGTTAGCCATAATTATTAAATATAAATACAATTTTATTACTCATTTGTGCAAGTGCCTCCTAAGAAGTTATGCTTCTTCAAATCTTCATCTCCCTCAAATCCATCTTCTCCAGTACCACTAAAATAATCTCTCGTAATGACGTCCCCAGTTTAAAACCCTCGTGTAGCTTCCACCAACCACAGGATAAAGTTAAGCTGGGAATGGGGTTGGCGATGCCTTCATGACCT